GCAATCAATTTTGAGTTCTTGCGTAGTTACCACATCTCCTCCTCCTCCTCCCTACCTATTGTGATGAAGGCTCAATCAAGAGCGCCCCCCACAAAAGCTAGTTTAAATGCTGCCTGATAAGACAGCTTTTAAGCTAATTTGCTATAATTTAAAACAATGATTCCCAACATGGAGTGCATGCCCCACCTGTGGGGTATGTTAATATTTTGGTGGGGCATGTGTAGGGTGTGCACCCTTTTGGCTTACTATACCAACATGAGCTCAAATTTTATTTCGTATTATTATGTCATGATTAAAATGATCAAAGTATATTACAGAATAAGCTTTCATTTGAATATTTTATATTTCTGCCTTTCAGTTCTCTATTATATATTTTGAAACTATATATATATTTAGCTGTCTTTTGGCACCTTGAGGCTGTGTAATGGTTAACAAGCATGTCTCACTAAAATAATTACCTCATCGAGTGCCGCCCTACGTTCGATTTTGTGCTACACTTGGAAAATCACTAGATATCTAACTGTTTTTTTTTTTCCAAATTTTCTCTTTCATGGATGCCATGGTCTTTGTAGGGTTGTTTAGAGACTAAGTTAATGGCCCTTTAAGCTTCCTTCACGTAAATTGCATTATAATTTTGAATATGTAAGAATTAAATATTGAAGGGGGAACCAGAATTTAAGAAATACCAAAGTGGGTCATGGTTTAAAATCGATCGGGATTCACTGCTCTATACTTTGAACACTTATTGGAACTTGATCTCAACCCAGAACTCAAGTGGAATTTGTGCATACAATCATTTACTAAAGATGTTGGGAAAATGGCTGACACCAGGATATGGTCTTGACAAATGACAAATTTGTACTTAAAGAATTTTGGTTTTGGTTATTTAGGGATATGTGTGAACAGGTTTATGAAAGGTTTGTTCAGTTATTATGTTTTGAAACTATATTTAACTGTCTTTTTGTTTTTTTAATCTTTCTCTCTCATGGATGCCATGGTCTTTGGAGGCTTGTTTAGAGACCAAGTTAATGGCCTTTTAAGCTTCCTTCATGTGAATTGCAGTAAAATTTTGAATAAGTAAGAATTAAATATTACAGGGGATGACCAAAATTTTAGAAATACCAAAGTGGGTCATGGCCCAAAATCAGTTGGGAACCACTGATTTAAAATAATATCCAATCACAAATCATCAAGGACTACGACCTCCTTGTAATGTTTTCCTGCCAACATATGCAAAACTTGATGAAAATAAGTAACATTGCTAAGATATAAATTGCATTTTAAGATGATATGTAAGCACACATTGTATTTTAGTCATTTGAGTGTGTATTATCAATAAAGTTAATCAAAATTAATGCTGGTTAAGTATTAAAAAAAATATGTCTTCAAATATGTCCCACTAGGGAAACAATGCACACTACAAGGTTAATGACTGCTGGATGTAGTTTATCGTCATACCCAAGACAATGTACCTTATAAGGAATTACAGCGTATATGTACTGTATATAGTAGATAAATATGAATACAGAATCTTATAATTGAATTTGTTCTTTTTAATTTTAAGTAATTGGTTAATATTTTTAAGTAGTTTACTGCATAATTTACAAATTAACAGATCATTCAAAAACAAAATAGAACATAGAGCAGTCAACTATATTAAGAGCAATCATTTCTGTTCCACTGGATGCTTGTGTGAATCTGCCAATAATGGCTTCTGCATCCAATTCATCTAACAATTCCTTTTCAATGGACAGAAACATGTATGATTTAAAAGTTATTTGGAATTGGACTATAAATTGCCAAGAGGAGTTGCAGTGTGTGATTAAAAAATGGAGAAAATTGACGGATGGCGCAGAAGTCGATACCCGATAAGAAAGGTTGAATTTGTTATTTATTTTGTCTTTAATTTTAAGTGATTGGTTAATATTTTAAATAGTTTTCTGCACAATTTACAAATTAAAAGAGCATTCAAAAGCACAAGAGAACATTGCATGCAGTCGACTATATTAAGAGCAATCGTGCTCCATCTGATGCTTGTGTGAATCTGCCAATAATTGCTTCTGCATCCAATTCATCTAACAATTCCTTTCCGATAGATAGCAATATGGATGATTCCAAATTCTCTTCAGGCAGCAAATTTCTTAACCTTGTCTTTATGATCTTTAACTTTCAAAATGTCCTCTCACTTTGGAATTTGAGGAACTGGTAGTGTGCAGATGACTTAACAAAGTTCTTATTACTAAAAATTTCTCTCTTTTTGTCTTTATTATATTTTTATTTGATTTCAAGGGCACACTCCATCAGGAGACCATTTGCCATTGGGTAAACTGACATCCTGGCCAGTTCACCATTGAATTCAGGCCAACCAACTTTTGTGGTAATAATAGGATTTTGGTTATAAATGAAAAATTTGCTTACAAATCGCAACAGCTAATAGGGAGATGTTATTAAATATACTTTAATGTTTAAAAAAAAATGATTTCATTATTATTATTGTTAAGCTAATAAGCATTATAACATAGAACAAATAGTTATATTGTGGGAAAAGGAATTTTTGACTATGCATTTTTTTACGTATTTATGATTATTTTGTAACTTTTATCTAAAACAATATTCATGTACATGCAGTTATGAATATTTTACATTAATTACTATTTTTTTAATTAATAACTATTTAACCTCAGTTGTTGACATTAATAGCTATCTGCTGATGTGTTAAAATTTTAGAATAATGCAATAATAAAAATTTTAACTTCATCTCTGTGATAGATGTTGTGATCTGTTAAAACAGCCTAAACAGATTTCATTTTGGCTGGTGTTTCTTTAAGATTCATTTTTAAGTTTATTATGATCAACGTCATAAACTTGTTTTTCAAAATTAATTTACTAAAATTTAATAATTCTTTTACCCAATATGATAATAGGCAAATACTGAACAGCAAATACTTTTTTTCTTATGTATGAGATCAAAAAGAGAGTGATAAATTTTTTTCCTAAAAGGGTTGGCTGATTGATAAAAACAAATTGACAAAATAATTAATCCAATCATAAATATAGACTGATCACAATAGATAGGGCACTTGACATTCAGTTAAAATCAGTTTTTCTTAAGGTAAATAAATCTGGCACCAAAAATAAAAATTCAAACCTTTCATCATACAGTAATTATATATATATATATATATATATAGAAGCTGTAACTCAAGGTTTCCAAACTTTTTTGGTATCATTGCCCACTTTCACATAGAAAAATTTTCCACCTCCCACCTGTATAGTAAATATTCAAAAGCATACCAAAATTGTTTGGTAAAAGTTTGTTATTGGTTCATAAACTGACTGTGATGATGTAAAAAAACAAAACAAAGGGAGATAATAAATAATAGCTGGTGTGAATGTAGATTTGTGTTTTGATAAATGAGATCGAAGTAGGTTCCCCTACTTGTGTCTTAGGGACAAAAATCAAGGAGTTGACCCTGGGCATCAGCAAATCTCTGAATGTCACTGCCTCTGTGCTATTTTCATTTCATACCATTTGTTTGAATGGATGCAAGATATTCAATGTTTTTGTGATAAAAAGCAAGAATAGAATGAAAAAATCTAATAGAAAAAAATTAACAATGAGAATTTTTAATCTGAGAATTCAAATAAAATCATTGAATTTTGATTACAGACCGAATTTAGACTTAGAAAAAAATCATCCGTATCAATATTAATGTTTTTACATAACATATTTACACAAATGATTTTGATTTTCCTCAGAATACAAAATTTGAAATATCGCTAAGTTTCATATCATATTGGTTAATGTTGAAGGTCTAGTGTCTAGACTATAAATCTAGATCAGAGTTTCCCAACCTTGGCTATATGGACTACCGGTAGGCGATTTCAACTGTTTGATGGATGATGAGCAACTGAACAGAAATTAGAAGGTGATTGAAAATTTGGATGGGCAATAAAGGATTTTGTTAATCAAAAAGGTATTTCAAAACATGCTACCCCACCAAAAAAATATTCAAAGAAGATATACAAAGAATCTGTATAAAAAAAAAAAAAAAAAAAAGGCAGGAGGCCAATTGGGAATAACTTGCTTGTACAATGTAGTTAACAGAAACAATTACAAATTTCAAAAACTAAATATTTTTTTTCCTTGTTGATTAGATACCCTCCTGATATGGATGCCCAGGACCATCACACCCTCTGCCCTCACTTCTGCACACTACTGAGAAGAGGGAATTCAACTTTGAAAATTGTGGCAAAAAGCAACTATAAGAGAAAAGATTCAGAGATTTGAATTCTGTGATTAAATATTTTCATTCTAAATGTTTAGATATTTTTCTTCATCTTACTGTAGTTTTAATGGAATATTCTCTGGCCATTAAAGTAAATTGGATGGAGTTTCAATTAAAAAACAGTTTTCTTGTGAACTTGAACTTATATATTGGGGATATGCAGAAAAACGTCCAATCTAGATTGTGCTTCAAAGAGCCTGCAGAACAGCAAATTTAGCTCTGCACTTCAAGGGAGCCACAGAACAGTCAATTTGGCTCTGCACTTTAAGGGGCCTGCAGAATGTCTGATTGGGTTCTGTGCTTCAAAGTGTCAACAGAATGTCTCATTGGGCTCTGTGTTTCAAGATGCACACAGAACATTCCATTGGGTTCTGCACTTCAAGGGGCACACAGAATGCCCCAGTGGACTTGGTGCTTCAAGGGGTCCACAAAACAATCAATTTGGCTCTACAATACAGGAACATGTAAATCATCAGAACATTCATGATAATTTTGTATGACTGTATTCAATTCTATCAATATCTAAACTTCAGCTGCTTTGCTTAGATGATGAAAAAAAAAAAAAAAATCACTGAATACTAATTTTATAAACAATGCATAAGCATAAAAATAATTAAAAAGAAAATAATGAAAGTAAAACTTACCGAATTATTGCGCAGGGGAGAGTATTTAAACCCCAGTGAGAATTTTCCCATGGGAAGACTCTCTCACCAATTTAAACACCTTCAGATTAATATCCCGGGTGATGTTGGCAAACTGTGTTGGAAGTTCACGTAAGAGAAAATCAACCGAGAACCGCGCTTGAAGCTCTAACTCCATCTTGTTAACAGCGGGGACACCTTAATGGAAAACAAAGGATGTATTCTGAGAAGAATCATTTGGACAGGCAGCCGCACGATGACATGGTCAGTGTTCTAATCAAATTGTTATGATTAAAATAAGGACAAGAATTCTAGTCTCAGTAATCCATTAAACAATAACACTTCATTGCCAACCGAGTCGAAGGTCTTACAAGAAAAATAACATAAAACTTACCCAAAGTATGGCAAAAATCAAACCACCGTGGAAGGGACGTCCAGAAGACAGAGTGAAGAAATCCTTTCTCTCCACTTTCATATTGGAGTAACATGTTGCGTAATTCACTGTTCTTGTGTTGTTGTCCACCTGAGGAACCATCAGTAGTTGTGGTAGAAATATTCCAAAGACTGTCTGCAAACTAAACGAACAAAAGGAAACAGAAAAATCAATAAGAGGTTGACACATTTTATAATGGCATGAATTTTAAAACACTAGCCTGTGTAAATATCAAATACACATTTAAATATAATAAGATGGAATAAAACTAGTAATAAAATAATAGTAATAATGAAGAGTGTATAGAGCCAGAGTGTTGGGATAAAAAGCAACAATAATAAGATGGAATAAAACTAGTAATAAAATAATAGTAATAATGAAGAGTGTATAGAGCCAGTGTTGGAATAAAAAGCAACAATAATAAGATGGAATAAAACTAGTAATAAAATAATAGTAATAATGAAGAGTGTATAGAGCCAAAGTGTTGGAATAAAAAGCATCAATAAGATGGAATAAAACTAGTAATAAAATAATATGGTGTCGAATGGTTTTGCAGGCCCACATGACACATTGCATTATTAATGTCTGCTATATAAACCAATTGTTTTAGGTGGCCCCATAGATAAGAATACAAAGGTTTGACGTCGGGGAAACATGCAAGCCATGGAACCGGTCCTCCCCTACCTATCCATCTTTCATGGTAGATGTCAGCCAGTACATCATGAACAATATGACTAAAATATACTGGAGCCCCATCATGCATGAACCACATGTGTCTTCATATTAGCAGGGGTACATCCTCTAGTAGGTCTGGAAGTGTGTTTGTAATAAATTCCCTGTAGACAGCTTCTGTAAGACATACTGGGAGAACATATGAACCTACCAGACAGTCACCTACAATTCCAGCCCACACATTAATCGTAAACTGATGGTGGTGTCTAGCCTGTATTGTACCATGGGGATTCTGATTTGCCTATAAATGTTGGTTGTGTAAATTTGTTATTCCATCTCTTCCAGATGTTGCCTCATCTGTAAACAAGACTGAAGAGACAGACAACAGATCAGCAGTTTGTGCAATATATCATCAGCAAATGTTCTCCTATGGTGAAATGATCAAAGGACAAAAGATCCTGCACATGATACAGATACAGGAGCAGCACCTGAAGACTCTCCATGCAGTACTTTAAGACGTACGATATGCTAGGGCCATCTGATGTGTGCTGATACTTTGATCATCTTCGATAGCCTGTCTGTCCTGGGCAAGATGTTAAACTACATCCATGTCATGGGTAAGACAATAAACTACGTCCAGCAGCAAGGCCTCTGATCAGGAGGTTTGAGGAGCGTGGAACCACCTCTTAATTGCTTGTGTTCCCAGGTCCACCCTGTCCCGGGGTAGTAGCACCTGTTAGGGTCCCAGCTATGGGCAAACAGTTAACTATTACCAGCAATACTTTTTAGAAAAAATTATTACCAGCAATACAATTTTGAAGGAAAAATATTACCAGAAACAGATTTTTGACAAAACAAAATATTACCAGCGATAAAAAATGTTGTCGGCATTAAATAACCCATTGAGGTGTTGATATGCTGTTAAACAAAATAAACCAAACCAAACTGATTTCCTGTAAAATATGTTCTTGCTCTTCCTTGATCCATAGTTTGCAGTGCCACAGATCCTGTCTCATCAACACAATGATAAACAGCAGCAAAGGTTGGATGATTCGGCTGCTTTCAGTCTGGAAACATGATTTGATACAGCCGAGCAGCCTTGCACCCATATGTAAAAATATCTGCCTGCTTGAATATGAATATATGCTGCCATTGTTAAATGGAACAATTCTCAGTTAACTGTTGAAGACAGACTATCTACAAATGTACACGAATGACAAATGTAACTTAGTCTACATGGCAACATAGCACTATCAACCGTAAACTTTCTTTAAACTTAATAACTCACAAATGAATATGTTTATATGGACTTTTATCCTTCTTTTGGTGTAAGGAAACAGCCCCCAAAGTTTGTAAAAGTATTTTTGATATACCCTGTATATAAAAAAAATCACAACAATGAACTTTTCAGGCCAATGCTAAATATTAGAAAAGAAACAGACTATGCAAAATATGGCATAGATTTACCGATTTATAGATTCTTGGCCTCATATTTTCCACTGAAATGGATTGGAGCGACTGTATTGTTGTAACCTAGGGAAGCTTACTGAATAGAATAATCACATGAAGGTTGGTAATGAATGATAAGACTTAGGACAAGAACAAGACATATAAGATTCGCCAGCGGTGTGTAGAAGTAGTAGTCATCTGCTGGAAGTGAATTCCACAATGAATCTCCAACAGCAGACCAACATACAGTATTTACTACTGTATTTATATGAATGGGAACATATCTATTATTGTTTGTAGGTATGCTACAATACATAGTAAAAATCATTGGCCAATGCATTTTTTCATAGTAAAAATCATTGGCCAATGCATTTTTTTTCAAGTAAAAAAATGAAATAAAAATTTTCATAGTAAAATTTTTTGGCCAATGCATTTTTTTAAAAGTAAAAAATTTATAAAATTTGGCCAATGCATTTTCATAGTAAAAAATCATTGGCCAATGCATTTTCATAGTAAAAATCATTGGCCATTTTCATTTTCATTGTGTGTTTCAAAAAAAATCATTGGCCAATTTTTTCATAGTAAAAATCATTGGCCAATGCATTTTAGTAAAAATCATTGGCAATGCATTTTTTAGTAAAAATCATTGGCCAATGCATTTTTTGTAGTAAAAAATATTGGCCAATGCATTTTTCATTTTAAAAATCATTGGCCAATGCATTTTCATAGTAAAAAATCATTGGCCAATGCATTTTCATAGTAAAAATCATGTGACAACATATGTCAAATCAATTGTTTCATCTTCTGCAAGATAACTTAAATCACCATGTTGTCCCAGAAAATTCTCCTCATCATGTTGTACATTTACAAATCTGCCATTTGTCCATGCATTGAATACTGTTACCATATCTGGTCTGGTTCTCCTGCTAGACACCTTGAGATTCTTGACAAAATCCAAAGAAGGATCTGTAATGTAATCGAACCTCACCACGCATCTCAACTTCAGTGATTTTCTCACTGATGTGACATAGCTTCCATGTCTTTTCCACAAATATTTTCATAGCAACTGCTCTGATGAGCTTTTTTATTTACCTGGTGTCTCGACTACATGAATTTAAAGTGTGCTACTAGATTGGCAACTAGGTCCATCTATGGGTAACTAGTAGGACACACTGGGTTCTATAGCCTTGGGTAGCAACCGGTCTAGGAGAAGAAAAACTCTAAATTCAAAATTGGACTCAGCTCTGTCAAGCTATGTGGCTCACTTCTTATTAGTTAACCTACTTAGGTAGCTCTTCTCCTCCCCTTTCTTTGTTAGGTTAAAAACTATAGCAACACGTGTGTGTGTGTGTGTGTGTGTATCTCTGCATGGGTGGGGACGTAGAAATACATGGGTTGATGCCCCAATGTGCAGTAAGCCTCCTGGAGTGATAGATTCCTTCGATTTTGTTAAGGTAGGAGAAGTACATGTAACACTTGTTTTCAGTATTAATACTTGGTGAGAGTCACTGTGACCTTCTGTAAACCATATTCAGCTATGGTCATGTTCATTCAAACAGTACAGAACCATCCATTTCACACACACACACACGTTTGCATGTGTGGAACCCTGTTAAAAATTGACTCAAAAGTGACTCATTGTTGTGCATAAAATTGGCTCCAGATTTGAATTTCCACATTCACATTTATTAACCAATCTCCAACGTTATTTCAAATGCTCTTAGACCTATGAAATTTCACACAATATGCTTGTTTTCTGCTATGAAAATTGAGAGATTGCACCAGAAAATGATAAACAATATTTTCCCTCCTAAAAAGAGATATTTAAAAATTGAGGAAAATATGTATTAACCAATAAACTTCTGAGTTTAGTAAATCTAATTTTTAGCTTCCTTGTGCCTATTTCTCTGTTATAAATACAATCGCATAAATTCACAAAATTAGCATTCAGTTTTTGTTTTTCTCTAAAACCTTTGACCAGGCTTGTTGTTTTGCACAAAACTGAAATTTCACATCTTTCATGTAATTAATTATTTAACATTTGACCTATTTATTAAATAGACTTTTTTTTAAGAAATTAAGAAGCATTAAACATACAGAATTATGAATTTTTAAAGTTACAAATTTTTAACTGCACTGATGGGAAATTTAAAAAAACAATTTGACATTTTCCTTATGTAGACACACCATGGTTATTTTTTTTTTTTTTTATAATAATTTTAAAAATAATTTTGTTAAATTTTTTAAGACAAAGTATTTCTGGTATTAAAACCTATTTTACAGAGTTTATTTTTTAATATTTTGCCCATAGCTCCAAACAGGTGCTACTGATGGAAATGGATGGATGGATGTTGGATTTAACATAAAACAATTTGGGTCAAAGGTTTATGAATTTAAGATTTTTTGTATAAAATGATAAAGAAATTGGGTTTCATAATTTTCTATCATGGTTTTTTTTTTTTTTTTTGTGATTTTACTGTTTCTTCATAATATATTTTTCCTATATAAAAAAAATTATTTTTTATTTTTTTGAAAACTGTATATTTTTTCTGTGTTTTTTTTGAATATTTCTTTTAAAAAATATTTTTGAGATATTTCTTTTAAAAATTTTTTTTTAGCTGATAGAATATGTATTTTTTGGTGGATTTGTCTTTTTGGATTATGTGAGAATAGTTAAATATTTGCCCTATAAAATTTCTGGTTATGACAACTTGTTTTCAGTCCAAGATCAACCTACTTTTATTCTCTTAATTTGAAATAATTTATTTCCATTGGGTTTCCATAGATTTTGCCATTTAAATCTTATGAATTTAATATTTTAGAATTTAGAGTATATGGTTTTGAATATTTTCCTCAAAATTTTTAAAGATGATGATGATTTTCTGCCTTATCTCCCTTTGGATATCAACATAGCTAGGAATCCAGCAGAAGATATATATTTTTATATATTTCCATTGATTAAATTTATATTGACTTTGTATTAATGGATTTTCCAGTTTTTAAAGATTAGAACGATAATGAATCTGATGATTGACCTTAAAATAAATGAAACCAGTTCCAACAATGAAAATTGAATGATGAGATGTTTGCTGTTGAATTAGTTTAATTTTATGGATGGTTGTTTAAAAAAGTTAACAATAAGAAAAGCTGAAAAAAAAATTAAAAAAGGAATGAAATTGAAAAAAAGAAAAAGAAAAAAAAAAAGAAAAAGAAAAGAAAAAAAAAAAAAAAAGAAAAGAAAAAAAAAAAAAAAGAAAAAGAAAAAATTTTAAAGGAAAAGAAAAAGGAAAAGAAACAGGAAAAGAAAAAGGAAACGAAAAGAAAAAGGAAAGGAAAAGTTAAAGGAAAAGGAAAAAGAAAAGAAAAAAAAGAAAAGAAAAGGAAAAGAAAAAAAAGAAAAAGGAAAAAAAAGAAAAGGAAAAAAAAAAAAAAAGGTAAAAGAAAAAGGAAAAGAAAAAAGGAAAAGGAAAAAAAAGGAAAAGTAAAATTTCAAAGAAAATGGAAAGAAAAGGAAAAAAGAAAAAAAAAGAAAAAGAAAAGAAAAGGTAAAAAAAAAAAAAAGAAAAAAAAAAGAAAAAGGAAAGAAAAGGAAAAGAAAAAGAAAAAAGAAAAGGAAAAAAAGAAAGAAAAGAAAAAGAAAAAAGAAAAGAAAAGAAAAAGGAAAAGGAAAAGGAAAAGAAAAAAGGAAAATTTAAAAAAAAAAAAAAAACAAAAAGGAAAAGGAAAAGGAAAAGGAAAAGGAAAAGAAAAAGGAAAAAAAGAGAGAAACCTCAACTCCTGTTCAAAAGTCCAGGAAGGAGTTCAAACCAGACCATAGTCAAACCTACCTACTCCTACTAAGGAAAAAAAATATAATAAAAATAAAAAAATTAATAAAAAAAAAAATTTTGTAAAACTAAAATTTAAAACTAAAAAAAATAATAGTTCATAAAATTTCAAAGTTTAGTCAGATAGTATCTAATTATTCCACAAGTAAATTTCTCTCACCAATAACAATCATTCTGTTCAAAGGGATTAATGACTTTACCTTTGGAACATCCTTGGGGGACGGAGTTACAACAGGTGTCTTCGTTTTATCCTTTGACAGCGTATTAAGTTTACTTGGCATTTTTGTCATCTGAATGGATAACTTCCGTGAAGCAACATAGAGCTTCTCTTCATTCTCTGCAACTGGAAGAGAAATTTTAGAAGTATTTTAGAGTACAAGAGAGGAAGGACAGGATACAAAATAAAATTGCTTTAATCGCCTATTCATTCACAGTTAATTTGCAATCGGGTTCTTATGTTTCACCATTCTTCGCAGATCCTTTATTATCTCGATGTGGGGGATATTTAATAACAAAGATGACGTAAACAAGAATGTAAAGAATCGAAATGAAGCTGGCATGATTATGTACCCAAAACAAACATATAATAAAAAAAAAAAAAAATTATTTTTTCTAAATTTAAAATTCCCAGTGTCTCTCATTTGTGCACATGTGTAGCTACATCAATGTAAACAAAGCTAGTCCGGTAAAGTCCAAAGGGATGAAACACACAGAAAAACATTTTCCATATTATATATATATATATATATATATATATATATATATAGATAGATATATGTATGTATGTACAGACATACATACACATATATCAAAGGAAAATCTCAAAACATCATTAAAGAGTTCGGTAATAATTTAATTAAGACAGAGAATTGCCTCAACAGACTTTCACCTAGGCGGACGATCTGCATAGGTAAAACCTTGGTAGGTTTGTCTGGTTCTTTAGGTTTAATTAGGTCTGCTCTACTTACCATATTGAACACTTTAATTAGTTATTTTGCTTACTTGTATTGGAGTTTTTCTTTGATCTTTGGAATTGGATGCTAGACGATTATTTTCGAATAACGTACATGTCCTTGGGTCTTTCTTTTTTATACCTTTTTTTCCCCTTTGATATCTTGATTTGCAAATAATCAAATCAATCAATACCAAAGGTTTTCTGGATGAGTATCATTTCTTATACTTATAAAATTATTACTAGTATATATATATATATATATATATATATATATAAAGACTTATACCCACAGAAGAGGAAAAATAAACTTAAATAGAGAGGAAGTCAAATTTACCTTTTTTTTATCTTACATAGAACTCACTTGGTCCACCATCTTAGAGTTCTTGAGGCTGTATATATTAAATTTCATTAGCCAAGTCTATGTAAGCAAAAGGAACACTTCATTCATTCTTTGTTTGATCAAGTTAATATGAGTAATTTTTTTTCTATTTTATACTCTTTTTGG